GTGTGTGTGTGTGTGTGTGTGTGTGTGTGTGTGTGTGTGTGTCTGGGGGGAACTGGCACGTGTCCATCTCTTTGAATCCCCAGATCAGGTGTGGGGGGAGTCCTAAATACCCAGTAAATTGACAATAAAGTCTCCTATTGGGCTGGTGCAGCTTCCAGAAAAGTCGGTTGCCTGGATGGCTGAGAATCAGCAAGGGCAGGCTTCTATGAAAAACTCCAGGAATGTCTCAAATCTTCAGAAATGATTGAGACATGGAGGTGAGGAGGGATTGAGGTAAGGGGAGACAGAAGACACCACGGTAGGAGCCAATAATGATTTCAGAGCACGGGACTGGGCAAGGAGAAAAAAGAAAGAAAATCTAAATCTAACCCCCGCCCCCCGCCGCCGTCCCCCACCTCCCGGAGCCGGATCCTTGCTCGCGCGTTGGCCCCAAGCTCCGTGAGTCGGCAGTGGTCTGCCCCAGGGGACCGGTCTCTGGCTCTCCGCAAGGTCTTGGCTGTCAAAGGGGTGTGCACGGATAGTGGGTGGAAAGAGAGCGAGAGGTAGGAACCTCCGGATCCACCCGGCTAGGCCGCTCTAGGGCTCGGGTCCTCGGAATCGGGATGGGCGGGGGAGTACTTCCTGGACGGTTACTGGTCACGGCGTCTAAGGGAGAAGCTGCGGGGAGGGAAAACTTAATACAGGACCGAGAGCAAGCGGTGCATCACAGTTCAGAGATTGAGGGTGGGAGGTGGGAAATGCAGAACTAGGGCTAGAACACCTGTCCCCCACCCCCACCCCGTCCACCGCGGCGCGGAACTGCGGCGGCAGACGGGTGCTTGGAACTGGCGCGATTGGCGGCCACTGCAAAACTCGAGACTCTGGGCCTCCAAGAGCCGAATAACCTAGAAGTGGGCCCGGGACCTTGGGAACTTTTCTCGGGCGGGTCGGGTTTCGGTCTCCCCTCTGAAACGCCTTGGAACAGGTGCAGGATCTGCGTGTCTTCTGGGGCCCTTCAGTTGCCCAGCCTATGGGCGTAAACTATACCCTGCAAGCAGATCCTGGGAAATACAGGCGTCCCCCCCACCTCTCCCCGCCCTTAGCCTACCCCACTGACAAAAGCCAAAAGAGGAGAGGGATTCGGAATCTGCTCAGAGAGCACGCTTGGAGATCGAAGGCCCTAGGCACCTGGTATTCTGCCCCCGACTGGGACTGAGCAGATCCTGGAGCAGCAACCGGTTGATTTCCCTTTCCCCGGTGTTTAGAACCTTCGGTCTCAGGGCTGTGAGCTCAGGCCACCTGCCTGAACTTCAGCTGACCAATACAGCTGCAAGCCTGCATGACCCTGTGACCTTGTTACCTTTGCAGCTGTGAGCAGACATCTATGCCCCTGGCCTCAGTGACCTCGGCTAGCTGGGCAGATGCGTGAGGCTATGGAATCTTAGAAAGTCTCATCTGAGAAAGTTCAGACGTGGAGAGAGTTAACATACATCAGAAAGCTTGAAAATGCAGCATTAAAATGAAACATTTCTCAGTTTGCCTTGGCTGAAGGCAGACTAGCTCTGAGCACCCTTCCCCTAATAATTCCCGCCAAAAAGATCTCATGGGCAAATTGATCAGCACAGGAGCCCAGCCCTCAAGTATCTGCTGTGAACACACCTACCTGCATTGCCTGGGCCGTAGCTCCGCCAAGATTGAGCATTACTCCTGATAGTGTGACTAAATTAACGATCATACAAAAGAAAACACAAGGGAAATCTACACATATCCTTCAAACTACATGTTTCCAGACTTTACAAAAAGCAGCATCTACTTACCTTTTTCTAGACCTAAGTTCATCTCTGAATCCCCAATAGGTAACAAAGCCAGCTGATGAAGAGGAGATTCTGGACGACTGGAACAGAAACATAGGGGCATTTAAGTTTTTTGGGGGGGGGGGTTGTTTTGGAAAGTGAGGCCCCAAGCAACCTGTATTGTTTGTTGATGGGCTGGTTTTAAAGATATTTTGCTCGAAAGATCCACTGGCATCTCAGGTATGGACAATTTAGTTAGCCTCTCAAGCATTGTGATTTAAGGATCTCCTGAGGCCCATGTTTCATTTGTCTCCAAATACCTTTCTCACTTCTTGCCATTGAATTTGCTTCATGACCATTCTTGGTCTTTTCTCTACACATTCCCCTTTAGATTTAATTGGGACCCGATTAGCCCATTAGCAAAAATAATTCCCCATTGCTAGAAGTAGTTTAACCTGCCTCACTCATTGTGTAGATGAGAAAACCAAGATGCAGTTAAATCAAAGGATGCCAGTAATGATGCAGAGTCATGTTAGTCACGAATAACAGAACTGAAATTTTGGTCTGCTCTCATTCCACTTTACTGGGGATTAGTGTTTCACATCGTCCAACTGTTGCCTGTGAAAACTGAGAACAGGCCTCAGAGTAATGAGGCACAGAACAGTACTTAGATGATAAGAAAGTCAACCTACTTTTCTGCCAAACAGGGTTCACACTGTGGATACAATTCTTTGCCCTACCCCTGGTCTTTGCTTGATCCCTGCCCTAATCATAACTTTTTCTGTGGTCACCTTAAGATAATAAAGGCTTTGAAATCTTTTTAGAGGGGGAACCATTGAATGCCTTCAGTGAGACAATATGCAATTTTCATTCTTCAGGCTTTTTCACAGATGTCCTTCTGACATAGGGGAAGGCTGGCAAGATGTGAAGAAAGAAAAAATAGGAAAGAATATCTCCTGTGATAGATAAACCAGTGTAGTATTTGTTAGGGGAGTGTTTGTGGATTAATGGATTAAATGCATGCTACTGTAAGAACTAAAGGTTCATCATTTATTTGGTTTTGCACCTAATGGTTGCTGAAGAACTTAACTAAGAATTGTCCATATATGAAGAGTACAGAGAGACTTTTCATAAGAGGAAGAGCAGAAAGAGGAGGAGAATTCTCAGATTCCTCTGTATGGTAATTCTCCAGGACTGGTCCCACCCCCCCCCCCTCGCAACTACCACCCCACAAAGGCTGTGCAGTGCAGCTGCTCAAGCCTTTAGAGGGAAAGCTGAGCCCCGCAATACATAGACTATCATGGTCATTTCACCTTGGTTTCTAAAGAAACTCCCCCATTGGGCCTCCTAATAGGTAGTGACAGAATGCTGAAGGATTCTAGAGGACAAGATACTCCTCCATGTAGACATCACTTAGTAGAATTAAAGTGGCCCTTTCATCTGGCTTCTCTGATCCAGGCCTGAAAATTGTCTCTGGCCACTCGTGAAGATGCTAATTACCCTACTGCTGAAAAGAATGCTGACACCCCACTGACAGGCTAGCTTCATGGCAGACATCTTTGTCTAAATGATTTGTCCTTATATGAAGAAGACCACCACTTTCCAGCTAAAGATTTTCCCAACAATAATCAAGCTTTGTCTTCTCCCTTTTAGGCTCAGTATCGGCTTAGGGTGAATAAATATAAGTGGGACGGGATTAATTATCCCTCTTTTGCTATCATCTCCTCCTTCAGAGACTCAATGAAAATAGGTGGTCTCTACTCAAAGTGTAGCCCTGAGCTACAAAACAAGTATTTTAAAACACTTTCCAAATAATTGCTTTGAAGAAAATAGTCATTTATTGTCAAAGCATCCAACATACCTGGATAATCTATAAAGTTTAATAAATCTTTCCAGGGATAAAAGAAACACATAACTATTCAGACTCCATTTCACTGGCACAAAATTACACTTTGTATTAAAAGGAAATACATATTTACATAATGATGACATTCTTCATTGAAGTCCATAATCATTTCATGATACATGCACTTCCCCCTGGAAACTTAAATTGAATGGTGACCCCTTTTTATTTATTTTATTTTTTTGTAAGAACACAAACTGTCATCAAGAAATGCAGAAAGCATCTCACCTTCCTCCTTTACTTTATATCTAAAATAAATTTTGCCCTTACATATAATTATTACATCTAAACCGTAAGTGCTTAATAATTTAAGTAGAAACGTATGACAAATGCATCAATATGTTGCAATATATGACATTTTTAAAAATGTACCTTTGTTTTTGGAAAGTGAAAATGCGTGCATTCAAAAGAAAACCCCTCGAACAACCCACCCAATCAAAAATCCACCATCCTGTCTTGTATGCGTGCGTGCGTGTGTGTGTCTGCGTGTATAATGCAGGTCTCGGGTAAACAGGTCAATGAGAAGGTTGGGGTGGCACGTGTATGTGTGTGTGTGTGTCTGTCTTTGGGTGCAGTGTTTCAGGTCACAAGGAGGTGGTGGATGTCCTCGCGTTTTTCCTGTAGGTGGCTTGACTGTGACTGTGCGCGCGTGGAAAGCCAGGGTCCTTTCCGTGTCAATTATGCGAGGTCATGTGCCTGGAGAGGTGGTGGCGCTCCCTGAAGGACTCATTGCAAATGGGGCACTTGAGTTTCTCCTCCCGCCGCCGCTTCACCAAGGGCTCCATCGCGTACTCCTTTTTGTGATGCGACCGCATGTGGTACACCAGGTCGGAGGTCATGCGGAAGGAGGCATTGCACTTGGCACACCAGTTCTGCGCGGGCAGACACAGCGAGGTGAAGGAAGGCGGCAGCAGCGTGAGCGCCGAGGGCAGCTGCAACTGCAGGGGCCCCGCGGCCGCCGCGGCCGCAGCCGCGGCGGCAGCGGAGCTCTTGGGCCAGAAGGCGGTGGCGTAGAGGAAGGGGTTCTGTTTGGGCAGGCCGCCGCCGCCACCGCTCGGCAGGGCCCCGCAACCTCCGTTCAGGTCCGCGGCCCCCTGGAGCTTCACGGCCAGAGGGTCGGAGGCGGCGGGGTAGAGTCTGGTGGGGCCCACGCCGTCGCCGGGGTGGCACGGCTCGAGCGCGCTCAGCTTCTGGCCCAGCACCAGCGGGGACAGCTGGGAGAAGGAGCGCGCCGGCTGCGAGAAGGCGCTCTTGCGCTCGTCCGACGCGGCACCCTGGCCGCCGCCCGCTCCGCCGGAGGCCCCGGCGCCCGCGCCGCCGCCCG